GACGTTCTCTTTCTCGCTTTCGGTTTCGCTGGTCGTCGTCGTCGTCGTCGCCGTCGTCGTCGTCGACGTCGTCGTCGTCCCTGTCGTCGACGTCGTCGTCGTCGTCGTCGTGGTCGGTCCCCTGTCCGTCCCTCTTGGGGTCAGGTTGCCGCCGATCAGCGCTGCCGCTGGCCAGGCCGACGGTCCGCGGCCGCCCCGCCGCTTGCCAGGGCCCGGCCTGCAAGGAAGAAAGGTATACCCCCAGGTATGATCGAAGACGAAGAGGGCGGGTATCGAGGGTTTGGGAAGTACACGTTAACGGACACTGGGGCAGATCAGAGCGAACAGTCTTAAACTGACTGTTGCTGTTGATTGTGTTTTCAAGTGAAGTGCTCCTCCCAGGGCTCGCACCCTGTCTTTAATCAGGGAAAAACGCTTGGCTCAAACTGCGTTGTCGACCCCCGGATTACTACAACAACAACAACAACAACAACAACAACACCAACACCAACACCAACAGTTCCCGCCTGAGACCTCCTCACACTTTAGCCACGACCCCCGCCCCCTCTTGGGCCGTCTTGGAGTGTCGGGAAGCGGACGAGGAGAGAACGCCGAAATACATCAACACCAGTGTGAAATCATTGTGTTTTCCTGTTGGGGCCCTCTTGGGAATGCTCCTGGAGGCCTCTTGGGGCGTGTTGCAGGGCTCTTGGGCCGTCTGGGGGCCGCCAAGGCGTCTTTGACATATCATTTGGCAATGTGGTGCCCTCTTGGACCGTCTTGGGGGCCTCTTGGGGCACTCTTGGCCCGTCTTGGGGCTTTTTAAGCCCCGGGGCCACCCGGGGGGAAGTCGTATCTGACCCAGGATTCCCCCCCCCAGAACCGCCCCCGCGACCCCCTTCTGGACCCCCCCCGTACGCAAGAATCGCGTCCTCGTTGGGGAATTCTTTAAAATTTATGCGGGAATCGCTTTCTCGGCGCTCTGGAGTCGCGCTCTCGCTGGACACTTGCTTGCAATTTACTCTACAATCGCGCTCCCGCTCCCGACACTCAGGCACCCAGGAGTCGCGCTCACGCGTAGGACTCCCTCGCAGATTATTTAGGAATCGGGATCTCGCTGCCCTTCGTGGCCCCGTTGCAGCCTTTCGTGGCCCCCTCGCTGCCCTTCGTGAGCCCGGTTCAGCCCTTCGTGGCCCCTTCGCTACCCTTCGTGGCGGCCACGTTGCAGCCCTTCGTGGCCCCCTTGCTGCCCTTCGTGGACCCGTTGCAGCCCTTCGTGGCCTCCTCGCTGCCCTTTGTGGCCCCGTTGCAGCCCTGCGTGGCCCCCTCGCTGCCATTTTTGGCCCCGTTGTACCCCTTCGTGGCTCCTCGCTGCCCTTCGTGGCCTGGGTTGCAGCCCTTTGTGGCCCCTTCGCTGCCCTTCGCTGCCCCGTTGCAGCCCTTCGTGGCCCCTTCGCTGCCATTCGTGGCCCCGTTGCACCCGTTGTTGCCCCCTCGTTGCCCTTCGTGGCCCCATTGCAGCCCTTCGTGGCTCCCTCGCTGCCCTTCGTGGCAGTGACCCCATGCCCTTCGTGGCCCCCGCTCGTTCGCGCCCGTCGTGGCCCCATATGCACGCGTTTCGTGGCCCCGCTGTCGCTTTTCGTGGCACCCTGGCTGCCCTTCGTGGCCCGCTCGCTGCCCTCAGTGGCCCCGTCCTTGCCTTCTGCGGCCCATTATGCGTGTGCCCTTCGTGGCCCCCGCTCGTTCGCGCCCGTCGTGTCCCCATATGCTTGTGCCTTTCGTGGCCCCGCTGTCACCTTTTGTGGCCCCTTCGCTGTCCTACGTGGCCCCGTTGCTATCCTCAGTGGCCCCGTCGTTGCCTTTTGTGGTCCTGCATTATCTGCCTTTCGTGGCCCCCGCTCGTTCGTGGACCCTTCGCTGCCCTTCGTGGCCCCGCTGTCGCCTTTCGTGGCCTCCTTCCTGCCTTTCGTGGTCCCGCTGTTTTTCGCTCTTGCGTTTGCTTTCGCTCGTCGTCGTCGTCGTCGTCGTCGTTGTCGTCGCCGCCGTCGTCGTCGTCGTCGTCGTCGTCGTCGTCGTCGTCGTCGTCAGAGTCGGTCCCTTGTGCGTCCCTCTTGGGGTCGGGTTGCCGCCGGCCAGCGCTGCCGCTGGCTAGGCCGACGGTCCGCGGCTGCCCCACCGGTTGCCGGGGCCCGGCTTGCAGGGACAAATATATTCCCCCCAACAGGGGTACGATCGAGGACGAAGAGGGCGGACATCGATAATTCGGGAAATGCATGTTGAATGACATTCGAGCAGATAAGAGCAAACGGTCTTAACATGATTGCTGTTGTTGTTTTTGTATCTCGGCGGCCAGTGGCCCAGTTTGGTGACCCTTCGCTATTCCTTTTAAAAAAGAGGAGGCGATCCCCGGGAGGAATATTTCAATCGGAACAATGTAATGTCCCCAGACGGGGGGATCATGAATCATTATTCTCTAGAAGTGAGAACCCAACAGCAAGACCAAGAGAGAGACAGAGAGACAGAGAGAGAGAGAGAAAGAGGGGAGAGAGAGAGAGAGAGAGAGAGAGAGAGAGAAAGAAAGAGGAAGAGAGGAGGGAGAGAGAAGGGAGGAGAGGAGGGAGGAGGGAGAAGGGAGGTGGGGCAGGAAGGTACGAGCGTGAACGTTCGAGGAAATCCTAGGCGAGAGCGCCGTTCCTGAAGGAAGTCTCGGGCGGGAGCCTGGGCGGGCGATTCCCTGACGGGCGGGTCGGGCGGGTGGGACATTCAAGCGTGACACAATTGTGGCGGCGTCCTTGGCGCAGCGTGTTTCCTGAGCGTCGAAAGCGCGATGTCTGAATACATTGCATGGAAGTCACAGGGGAAAGCGCAACTCCTGCATCAAATGTGAAGGGTTCTCTGGCGGGAGCGGGGGTCTTGATTAGGTTTGCGAGGAAGTCTTGATTCAACTGCGAGGAAGTCTCAAGCGGGAGCGCCGTTCCTGAGTAAATTATGAGGAAGTCTCAGATGGGAGCGGGGGTCCCGATTAAATTGCAAGGAAATCGCAAGCGGGAGCACCGATCCTGAGTAAGTTGTGAGGAAGTCTCAGGCGGGAGCGGGGGTCTTGAGTAAATTTGGAGGAGGTGTCAGGCGGGAGCCGTTGTTGCTGTTGTTGTTGTTGTTGTAGTAGTCCGGGGGGCCAGGGGCACAGTTTGAGCATGTCACAAAACAGGGCGCGAACGCCGAGGGGCCCAGAATGCACCGGTGATGGGGGGAGCAGCAATATTTTCGGGGGAGCGTAAGACCCGGGTTTGCCAGGACTCGGGTTCGCCATCGTTTTTTGACGACCGCGCCTCGGATTTTGACGAGGAGGAGTTTCGTGGGATGTCTGCAGCGGGGGGCCTCGTCAAAATGCAGGCTCGGCCTCGTCATTTTTTCGACGACCTCGTCGGGGATTTCCGAGTCCCCTGTGCCCAGGTCTTACGTCCCCTTGATATTTCTTTCTCAGAAATGAGAGTTCGACACCACCAACAACAACGCCGACGGCTCTTGCTCGAGACTTTTTCGCAATTTGGCTCATTCCCCATACGGTCTCACGGGGACCGCCCACAGGGGATTCCTAAGGGATGAGTGAGGTATTCCTCAGGGGATTACTTAGGGATCTCCCAGAGAACCCCGAGGATTCATTAGGATTCGTGGAAGATTTCAGTTGGATTTTTGAAGGATTCCGCAGGAGTCCCATGGAGTCCTCCAGGATTTCTCCAGATTCCTGGGGGATTCGTGACGGTTCAACAGGGATTCCTGAAGAGTGTTGAAGGATTCCCGAGTGTTCTTCGGGGAAGCCGAAGGAATTCCGCACGAATTCCTGAAGGATCCGGGTGGATTTCTCAGTGGCTCCTGGGGTTTCCCAGGGATTCCGAAGGGATTGTTGAGGGAATCCTTCAGGGATTCCCGAGGGAGTCGTATGGATTCCTGAGGGATCCCTGAGGATCCTTCAGGGATTCCTGGGTATGCCGCTGCACCCCGCCAGGGATTCCCGAAGCTTCTCGGGTTTTCTAGCGCTTTCCTGGCGATGATGATAATGACACTGCTGCTGCTGCTGATGATGCTGCTGCTGCTGATGATGATGCTGATGCTGATGCTGATGCTGATGCTGATGATGATGTTGCTGATGCTGATGCTGATGCTGATGGTGATGCTGCTGTTCGTGATGATAATTTTGGTAAGGATGCTGCTGATGATGATGGTGATGCTGCTCCTGATGATGATGATGATGATGATGATGATGATGATGATGCTGATGGCAGTGATGATGCTGCTGCTTCTGCTGCTGATGATGATGCTGCTGCTGCTGATGATGATGATAAGGGTGATACTGACGATGCTGATGATGCTGATACTGATGATGATGATGATGATGATGATGATGATGATGATGATGATGATGACGTTGTTGCGGCTGCTGCAGATGACGGTGACGATGACGATGAGGATCAGCAGGAGGCTGAGGATGTTGATGAGGTTGAGGATGATGTGGATGATGAGGATGAAATGGGTTAGGATGATGCTGCTGCTTATGATTACGATGACGATGACGAAGACAAGGACGACAACGACGACGACAGTGATAGCGACGACGAGGACGAGGATGATGATGAGGAGTAGGAGGAAGATGACGATGATGATGCTGATGATGATGGCGATGGTGAGAATGATGATGATGTTGATGATGCTGTGATGATGATGATGATGATGATGATGAGGAGGAGGAGGAGGATGCTGCTGAAAATGATGATGCTGATGCTGCTGATGTCGGTGATGCTGCTGCTAATGATGATCATGAGGAGGAGGACGAGGATCCGAGGAGTAGGAGTTAGGTGGAGGACGAGGTGTGGAGAAGGAGGATGACGTGAGGCGGACGAGGAAGGCAACACGAGGCGGATGAGGAGGGGCGAGAAGGAGGACGAGGAGGAACAGTGGGGCGAGGAGAGGCCGGCGAGTATTGGCTTCTTTCGGCTTTCCCAGAGTGGTGTGAAACCAGCCAGGTGGACAAGCACATCTTCGAGTGGCTGTACATCCTCGAGGACCGATCTGGGGCATGAGCGCTCGCTGTGGGCCTTGTGATGCGGGGCGCCTGGAGTACGACCACGTGTCCGCATGCAACAGCAGCCACATACACGGCCGAAGCCTGCTGTCGAAGAAGGGCAACCGCGGAGAATGAGTGGTCACTCGTGCCATGTTTTTTGGGTGGATGGGATGGGGGGGGCACCTTCGTCTTCGTCTTCTTCTTCTCCTCCTGCTCGTAGCTCCCTGTCTACAGTTGCTCTGGCCACCCCCTGATCTTACGACTCGTCCTCCTGCTGCGCCACCTCTTGCTCCTCCCGAGGCTCTCCTCTGCCAAGGACCATCCGAGGACGTCGACGGGACGACGAACGAGAGAATAAGAGCAGGGCGGAACACTCAAGGTCACAGCGCAGCTGCAATCAGGGAGGGGGCGAAGGACGGGGAGGAGGAGGAGGAGGAAGAGAGCCTTTGTCCTCCGGACAGGACAGGGACAGGGAGAAGGACGGGGAGAAGGACGGGGAGGAGGAGGAGGAGGAGGACGGGGAGGAGGAGGAGAAGAGGGGGAGGCTCTCTTCCTCCTCCTCGTCCTCTGTCCATTGGCCGGCCCTCTCTCTCGCTCCCCTCCTGCCTGGCTCATCGTCCTCCTCGTCCTCGCTCCCTTCGCTCCTGCTCGCCCTCGTTGCTCTTCCCCACCTTAATGCTCTTGTTATTCATATCAGATAACAGGGAACTGGGCTCCACCCCGGTCCCGTTTTCAGTCCCGGAGGGGGCGGACCCTTTCCGGGGCGCTTCGGGGCCGGGCCCGCTGTTGGGAGGCAGCAAATCGGCCCCCAGAGCGATCAGACAGCCGATCCGGCGGCCCAAGACGGCCCCGAGCCACCCCAAACCCCAAAGACGGGCTCCAGGGGTCTCAGACGGCCCAAGAAGCTTCCCAAACGGACCAAGAGGCCCCCACGATGGCCCACAAAGGCGCCAAGAGGACCCCGACGAGTGCCCTAAGAGGCCAAACTTCTAGATTTGCCTCAGGTTGTTGAAGGATTTTGGCGTTTTTACCTCTTCGGGCTTCCGACGCTCCTAGACGGCTGAAGAGGCCGCCCCAAAGCGGCTCAAGAGGGGTCCAAGAGATCTCTCGGGAGCCTCAAGATGGTTCGAGAGGGCTCCAGGACGGCTCAAGAGGCCCCCCAAGACGGCCCAAGGGGGGCCCCAGATGCCTTCCGCACCCCCAGGCCCCCAGGAGCCCAAAGAGGCTCCGACGAGGCGCCTCGAGGTTCCCGAAAGGCTCCCCAACAGGCCCCCAAGAGGCCCCCAAGAGGCCCCCAAGAGGCTCCCAAGAGGCTCCCAAGAGGCCCGAAAGAGGCCCCAAGAAGCCCCCAAACGGCCCTCCAAGAGGCTTCACAGCAGCCCTCGATGAGGTTCCCGAGCGGCTTCCCGCGAGGCACCCACGAACACCCAAGAGGCCTCTGACACACAACCCGGGCACCGTGGCAGGATGGTCCGAAGGTCAACATCTGTACATACATATACACCTACCTACCTACCTAGCCACCTACCTACATCTATCCATCCGTCCATCCGTCCATCGATCCACATCCATATACATACATACATATATACATACAATCATCATACAAAGATAACCAGACATACGTACATATTCTTTCTGTACGCGTATGTACGTATATACAAAAACGGAATGTCCCATCCCTGGTACACATTACTACATACACGGAAGAGGATTCCAATGATGTTTGACGCGATTCTTGGACACATTCCCGTTTTGCCCGAACCATCCCCCCAACATTGAAACCTCACCGATCAAAGTTGTCTTCATATTCTCCAAAACGATATTCGCTTGAGACATCTTCCCGCATTTAACTTCGGATCTTGGTTTCCACTGCGATCGTACGGTGTGGCAACCCCTTCCTCAACCACATTCATCGCAAGGTGTTGCAACCCTACCTATATGCGAGTGCGACCCCTCTATTGCACCTCATTCACAACAGCTATCTGGTGATCCTCATAATATTCCTTCTTCTTGTTCCTATGCTTCTCAATATCCTCATTTCCCATCTTCGGATCCGATTTGATATTCCTTTTCTTGTTCAGCTTCTGCAGTGCTTACGTGGTGTGGTCCTTTTTGTATGAGCCTTGGCACGCACGTGCCACTTGCGTATACACATGCTAGATGGTGTGGATTCCAAATAGTGCGTTTGTAGCAATCAATGTCGTGCAACTTATGTGGTGCAGCCTATGTTGTGCAATCTATATGTCGTGCAATAGCAATGGCGCAATCTATGTGGTGCAATCTATGTGGTGCAATCCACTCTGCTGAACTTGAAGTCGTCATCTCCACTGCTCGCGCAAACATCCCACCCACCCACCCGCAACTTGGTTTGCAAAACCTCTTAAGACCGACTACGACAACACCGACGGCAACGACTAGGACGACACCGACGACGTCTCCGACGACTTCGACGACGACAACGACGCCGACGCCGACGACGACGAAGACGACGACGCCGACGACGACGAAGACGACGACGACGCCAACGAAGGCGACGACGAGGGAAGAGGAAGGACGACGACGGCGGCAACGACGACAACGACGACAACGACGAGGGAGGGGGGAGGACGGCGACGACGCGAACGACGACGAAGGAGGAAGGACGGCGACGCCGACGACGACAACGACGAGGGAGGAGGGAAGACGACGACGACAACGACGACGACGACGGCGACGGAATAAGAGGGACGACGACGAGACGCCGACGACGGACGACGACGATGACGTGGGAGGAGGAGGAAGGACGACCACGGCGACAACGACGACGGAAACGACCACGACGCCAAAGAGGACGACGACGACGTCTACGAGAAAAGACAGAGGACGACGTAGGCGACGACGACGACGACGCGGGAGGAGGGAGGACGGCGACGACGACGACGACGACGACGCAAGAGCGAGCGCGCACGCTTTTGTTGAAAATCCGTGTTGCGAAACCTTGGGTTTTTGTAGGTTTTTTGGACGCACGATTTTGAAATCCTCCCGAAACCGATGGGTTTTGAAGGTTTTCGGCGTACGCCCGCGACGACGCGCGCGTCTGCACTTCGTCCCGTTTTTTGCAGAGGATTCTCGCGACGGCACACGCGCAAGGGCGTTCGACAGATTTCGACATGCGCGCGCGCGAAGCCCGTTTGGTAGCATTTTGTGAAAATCTTGAAAAACCAATGGTTTTCTCAAGATTTCGCAGGAGCTCGCGCGGAAACTTTTTTAGCAAATCAGTGTTGCGAAACCATGTGTTCTTGTAAGTTTTTTGGGAACTCGATTGCGAAATCCTTCCGGCACCGAAGGTTTTTGAAGGATTTCGGCATGCGCGCGCGACGACGCGCGCGTGTGCACTTCGTCCCGTTTTTTTTGCAAGGGGTTCGTGAACAAGTGCTATGTTAGAACAAAAAATGTCACCGCATAGTTTTTTTACAAGGGAACCCCAGGGCGGGGGAACCCGGCCTGCCTGGGATGGTCTGATTTCATATTTTGGATGGACGAATGTGCAGAAAATGCATGAAATCATCTTATCCCAGAGGGGAAGCGATAAGTCCGGGGGGGGTAGAGTTTATTTTCTTTTTTTAGAAAGGAGAATACATGTGATGCAATGCATGTGATACTATCTATGTGGTGCAGTCTATGTTGTGCACTCTATCTGGTGCAACCTATGTGGAGCAATCTCTTTGGTGCTATCTATGTGTTGTGCAAGTCACTTGCCGAACTTGAAGTCGTCAATTCCACTGCTCGCGCAATCTTCCCACCCACCCACCCGCAACTAGGTTTGTAAGAGCCATGCGGGAGCGATTGCGATGAGTGCTGGGTGTTGGCTGGTGCATCTCTGCGGCCGCGCTAGCACGCGCATGCTCGCGCGCGCAGCGGCCAGCTAGTTTGGCGCGACCGACGCGAACACGGTGGCGCTGACCGCTCGGCGCATCCCAGCGGGCAATTCAGTGCGAGTCGGCGACCGGGGCGGGCGCGGTACCATGACAACGTCGACAACGGTAGACACGGTGATGATAGCAACGATGCTGGCGACGATGCTGACAGCGACGACGGGGGAGCCAGTGACGGCGCCGATGCTGATCTCGCCGACGACGATGACGGCGTCTTCGCGTCGGCGATGCAGGCCTTGGAAAGAATTCGGAATGCGCGCGCGGCAGGCGTGAGAGTGGCCCGCATGGTATTCGGTGAGACGGATCGTGCCACCCCAGCACGCGCGCAAGGGCGTTCGAACGATTTCGACATGCGCGCGCGAAGCCCGTTTGGTAGCATGTTATGCGCATGTTGAAGAAACGGATGGTTTTCTCGAGAATTTGCAAGAGCGTGCGCGCGCTTTTTGTTGACATTTCGCATAGCAATCATTTTTTTGGGTGGTTGTCATATAAGAGAAAATGTTCGTGGATACTCGATTTTGAACTTCTCAACCGAAGGTTTTTGAAAGATTTCGGCATGCGCGCGCGACGACGCGCGCGTGTGCAGTTCGTCCTTTCTTAAAGGGGATTTGTGAACACATGCTATGTTCGAACCAAACATGTCACCGTATCGTATTTTTGCAAGACAACCGAGGGGGACCGATACCGGCTTGGTTGGGATACCATGAGTGCACAGGCCGGATGGGCATTTGGGTCAGAATCATTTTGTTCTGCATCGGCTCCCGGGGAATCGATGAGTCCGGGCGGGGGAGGGTGGTAGAACGTTTTTTTTTTTTTTTTTTGGGTGTTGTTAGATAGGACAATTTATGATTTGTGTGGCAACGGGGCGGCGACGGGGCGGCGACGGCGACCACGGAGGCGCCAGACCGACAGTTGGGCCCAGGCGACGGGTGGCGGCGAGGCGGCGATGGGGCGGCGGCGGCGAGTACGGAACCGCCAGACCGACATTCAGGGCCGGCTCCTTGGAACAGAAGTCAGAGCCCCTAAGCGCAAGCACCGCTTGTGGAGTCCATCTATATCTATATATATATACATACATATATATATAGAGATATCTATACATAAGGGGGTGTCGGGGGGCCTGCAGGCTCCTAAGCGCAAGCGCTGGTTGGTGAACATATATATATATATACATGTATTTGTCTATATGTATGTATGTATGTATGTATGTATGTATGTATGTATGTATGTATGCATGCATGCATGCATGCATGCATGCATGTATATATGTATGTATGTATGTATGTATGCATGTATGAATGCATGCATGCATGCATGCATGCATGCATGCATGCATGTATGTATGTATGTATGTATGTATGTATGTATGTATGTATGAATGTATGTATGTATGTGTGTATGTATGCATGCATGCATGTATGTATGTATGTATGTATGTATGCATGCATGCATGCATGCATGTATGTATGTATGTATGTATGTATGTGTGTGTGTATGTATAGGATATGCGTGCCTGGGGGCCTGCCTGCTCCTGGGGGGCCCCAATTCGGCCCCCAGAGCGCCCACACGGCCGTCAAGGCGGCTCAGGACGGCCTCCAGGGCTCTCGGGCGGCTCGCGATGCGTCTCGAACGGCCCCATAGGCGTCTGAGACGCTTGAAGACCGCTCCAAGAGGTCCCCCAGGAGGGCACCGAGAAGCAACCACCTTTTTTTTTACCGCAGGCGTTTTTTTTCATGACGGTCCAAAACGACCCAAGCGGTCTTCCACATCATTCTTGATGTTGTATGAGTGCGTGCGCATCTGCACGCAGCTGTGCGACTGTCATGAGCTGGAGCTTGAGGAGGGAGGATCGAGGGAGTGCTAACATGGATTGACACGCGTGGATTTGCGACGGGTCCCGTTTGCATGCAACATCGGCGAGCGTTGTCGCCAAATGAGGCGGCATTGGCCTCATGTGTTGCGGGTGCCCTTCCCGATCCACGGATTTGGCGCCCACGCAGCCGATCCACGGATCACCAATCCATGCCAGTATGCACCCAAGAAGAGGGGGAGGGATGTGGGCAAATTCGGGGCGGAGGTTGGAATCGCCGCGGGGGCACCATCGGCTATCCTCTAGAGGAGGGGCGTCGGGGCGCCAACTTCCCGCAGTCCAAGGAAACATAATCGTCGATTCTGTAGATTCGCATTGCGTCGTCCCTCCAACATGGAGGGAGCGAGAAGGCGGCGGGGAACCCTCCGCCCGCTGCTTGCATGTGGCCATGGGGCGGCCAGGACCCCGCCTGGGCGCCCCTTCTGGGAGGAGGGGAGGAGGAGGGAGGACGAGGAGGAGGCGGAGGAAGAGGAGGAGGAGGAGGAGGAGGAGGAGGAGGAGGAGGAGGAGGAGGAGGAGGAGGAGGAGGAGGAGGAGGAGGGAGGGGGAGGAGGAGGAGGGCGGCGGGGAACCCGAGGAGGTCCCCCAGGTTCTCCACCGCCGCCGGAGCACACCGCCGGCCTCCTCCGCCCAATGCGCGCTCCTAGAAGCGCACGCCCGCGCGCGAGGACTCGGAGGGGAATCGGAGGAGGGGTGGGGGGTGGGTCATTGGCCTGTTCTGCACCACCACCACCACCATAAGTTGGAGGGGGGAGGGAGGTGGAGGAGGAGGAGGAGGAGGAGGAGGGGGGGCAAGGAGGAGGAGGAGGAGGAGGAGGAGGAGGACCCCCTCCCCCTCCAACTTATGGTGGTGGTGGTGGAAAACAGGCCCATCATTGGGGGTGGGGAGGATGCGACGAGGATGAGGGATGCTCGCCTTTGGATTCAAGAAATCAGTTTATGAATGCGAGAGAGTGGCTTTTTGATTCAGAAAGCTGGTTTTGAATTCAAGAACCAGCTCCCTCCACTTTCTGAGGCACCTCCTCTCTCTTCTCGTCTTCGTTCCCGTCGTCCTGCCTCCCCTTGCTCTTTCCCTCCTCCTCCTCCTCCTGGGAGAGGAGGAAGTTGACACAAGTACGAGAGGGAGGACAGGTTGAGCGAGGGGCGGTGGGTACGGAACGGAACGGTGGCAGGGGTTAGAGTGGTCTTGGCGGAAGGAAAGATCGCACCATCAGCGTAAGCAAGAAGCAGGCGTAGAAAGTGAGTGCGTGAAATACGTTGCGGCGCGCTGTGTTTGTCAGGAGTACAGGGGTGACATCATGGATTCCTGCCTGCAGACGCTGAAGTAACCTCCCTCGCTGTGGCTTCTTAACTGTGCTGCCCGAGTACTCCACCGATGAATTCCTCTTTCGCTCTCTTTCTCTTTCTCTTTCTCTCTCTCTCTCACTCTCGCTCTCGCTCTCGATCTCTCCTTCTCTCTCTCTCTCGCTCTCGCCTCTCTCTCGCTCCCTCGCTCTCGCTTCTGATGACGATGACGAGGACGATAGTGACGACGATGACGATTACGACGATGATGCTGACGGCGATGATGAGGATAGCGACGATGATCACGATTACGGTTATGCTGCTCATGGTCATGATTCATGATGACGATGATGGTGATGGTGGTGATGGTCGGGAGGAGGATGAGGGTTGGTGGTGTTGATGAGTACGTCTGACGATGTGGCAGTGAGGCGCATGAGCAGGCTCACAGGACGTGCGGTTGCCGTCGAAGCGAATCTTTTCGTGGCTTTCGAAGGACGCCCTCGCCTCGCCTCCTACCTCCTCCTCCTCCCCCTCCTCCTCCTCCTCCTTCTCCTCCTCCTCCTCCTCCTTCTCCCTCCCCGCTCCCCGTCCCCGTCCTCGGCCTCCCCGTCCCACTCCCCGACTGCTCTCGGTCGCGCGCCCGCGGCTCTCTCCCTCTCCCCGTCGCCTCCCTCCTCGCCGCGTAGGGTGGAGCATCGTTGCACCAGATTGTGGCAGTGGGGGAGGGTGGAGGATGGAGGCGGGTCGATGGAGGATGCATGGAGCCGGAGTGGGAGGAGGAGGAGGAGGAGGAGGAGGAGGAGGAGGAGGAGGAGGAGGAGGAGGAGGAGGAGGAGGATACGGCAGACGTGCAGGAGGACAAGCAGCAGCAGGAGGGGCGGAGTTTCGCAGGACGGAGCGAGCGAACGCGGGCGGTTCATGAGTACGGTCAGCTCGGTGCTGGAGTAAGCTCTGCGCGAGTGCCCTGGAGTGGAGGCTAGCGATGTTGCCTTGCCAACTACCTTGCGCACCCCATCACGTGTTCGTTAGGAAGGCGTCCGGGCCATGCCTGGCAGCATCTTCTTGCATTTCGCGCTGCATGCTAGTGCTGTTTTCTCGTCGGGATGCGCTGCGGCAGGTACTTGCAGTACGAGTTCTTCGCGACTGCAGCCCACGCAATCTCTGGCAGCTCCGTCACCTGTTTCCAGAATGCGCAAGCCTTTCAGACCAGTTTAGGGAAGGAGTATCTGACATCTTCACGTTACGGGTGCTAGCCTAAGCAGTTTTATCTCGATTTTATCTCAATGCCTTTGGTCTCTGCCGCTGTCCCCTGCCCCATGCATCGATGGATCCCTCAACGCCGTGGTCGTCATCATGCTCTTTCTACTTCTTGTGTTGTTCTTCCTACTAGGGGCTAAGGACTCTTGGAGCAATCTTGGGACCAGCTTCTAGCCGTCCGAGAGGCCTCCTCTCGTGTACTCGACCCTCTTTGATCCCTGGCGGCCCCATCGTGTCTAACCCTTCTCGGACTTCTCGGCGCTCGGCGAGTGATGCCCTGTGACTTTCTTGCGGGCTCTTCGGCGGATGAGGAGGAGGAGGCGGATGAGGAGGAGGAGGCGGAGGAGGAGGAGGAGGAGGTGGTGGTGGTGCTGGGGAGGAGGAGGGCACGAGTAGGAGGAGGAGGAGGAGAGGAGGAGGAGGAGGAGGAGGAGGGAGAGGAGGAGGAGGAGGAGGAGGAGGAGGAGGAGGAGGAGGAGGAGGAGGAGGAGGAGGAGGAGGGGGAGGAGGGAGCCCCAGCCGGAGCCGCCTTGACCGCCGGCGTCGCACGAGGCACGTTGCCGTCTCGCATGGAGTTCCGGCCCATGGTGGAGATGACTCCAGAGCACTTGGAATCGCAGGCGAGGCCGTGGAGGAGGACGGAGTAAGAGGAGGAGGAGGTGGCTCATGGTTCCAAGCCCAACTCACTCGGTGAGCGATGGTTGAGAGGGGGCCCCTAGATTCCTCTGCTTGCTGCGCCGTTGGTGCCCTTCTTCCCAGTTTCCCTTCGACTTGATGCCTGCTGGGGGCCAGCCTGCATTTGAAAGGGTGGAGAGCCGAACGTCCGATCTGGTCACGAACACCTATCTCAGCTGCCTGCGGGCCCACCCCCGGGGCCTACGGAAATCCCCTCGAGGGCCAGTCGAGTGCCCGGTGGGAGTCTTCGGGCCGTCCTGGAGGCCCGAGGGCCGCCCGTGGGAGGCCCGCGCATATGGGCTGTGCTCGCGCTGTTGTCTGGGCCGGGGTGGGGCTGCCCCGAGGCGGCGTGGGGCCGCCTGCGGCCATGATGTCTCCGCCTGTAGGCTTAAACCGGGCGTGTCCCTCTGCAGGAGGAACATCCGACAGTAGTCAAAAGCATGGTCAGGGGACGATGCTTCGTGCTCTTCTGACTGCTCTTGATCTTCTTTTTGACCATCTTTTGTTCTCTTGCAAACTTCGCTGCCTGTAGGAGGACATGCCCGACCCAACTGTAGGCCGCTCTGGGCGGTTTGGGAGCCGCCTGGATGTTTTCTGAGAGCCTTTCTATCGACTGCACGTAGCAGCGACCCTTCGCTGGAGTGACCTGTTGGTGCGCGCCCACTGGGGCCCCCCGATCGCCGAGTGCGGTGCGACAGCAGCGTCTTGAGCGCTGATGTTTGGCCCCCCCGCGGCCCTCAAAAAGTCGCGCACCGAAGGTCACTCTTGCGTGTAACCGACCGCGGGCGATAATAATGTCCCCCCCCCTTAACCCCCTCTATTTTTATCATCCCCGTTCAACAGGATTTATTTGTGGAGAGGGGCGCGGAGGCCGAACTTTCTAATCCACGGGGGAAGTTGCGAATCGAAGTTGCTATCATCTCATGTTGACTAGCAACAACATCAAAAACGCTGAGCATGGCCATGGTGATCTCACCACATCAGCTTCCGCAATCACGAGCGTGTGGCAGGGCTGTGGGATTCTCACCAGTTCAGTTTGCCCAAGTTACGAACGTGCGGCAGGGCCCTGGGATTCTCATTTCTCAGCCGTTCCCGAGTCAGGAACGTGTGGCAGGGCCATGGGTACCGATTGGGTTTTGATTGTACATGCGTTTTTCGAGGTCTCTCGAGTCAGTCTTGTGCCGAGCGACTGCTGGCAACTTCTATAGCCACGAGCATCGATATCTCTCTCTTGTGCCGAGCGGCTGCTGGCAAGTTGTATAGCCACGAGCATCGAGATCTCTCGAATCAGTCTTGTGCCGAGCGCCTGCTGGCAAGTTGTATAGCCACGAGCATAGAGATCTCTCGAGTCAGTCTTGTGCCGAACGCCCAGGATCACCATCATCATGATCATCGTCATCCTTCGTGGGAAAATTCTTTATCATCCCCGCCATACCCCCGAATTTTAATATCCCGCGGTGATTACTATCGCTCTTGGTGGGTTCGCCGACTCTAGGCCGAGAGGGGCATGCTTTCTGTATCTTCCGGGTGCAGTCGGACCGAGATAAAGGTTCGAGGTCGGTTCGGGAAGGATGCACTGACGTTGTTTGGGCTTGGTGTGGATGTTCAGGTGCATCCTGGGGGAGGTACCTTCGAATGCTTGTCGGTTCGGGCCAGCGGATGGTCTCATGTTCTTGAAAAGTTGTCGTAGGTCCGACTGCTTTTAAAACTTGGAGTCCGTGTGGGAGGCTACTGGCGCTGGTGGGTAAAATCGGCGTTGTCAGTCATGCCGGCAGCAGCCACACCAAGGACCCTGTGACCATGAACGTGGGGAGAAAGAGAGAGAGAGAGAGAGAGAGAGAGAGAGAAGGAGAGACACGTGGAGAGAGAGGGGTAGTGAGAGAGAGAGAGAGAGAGAAGGGCCCGTAGAGCAGAGCGATATAGCAGAGACATAAAGCAGAGAGAGAGAGAGAGAAAGATGGAGCCAGAGCTAGAGAGGAACGATAAAGAGGAGATATAGAGCTAAAGGGGTCCGTAACCATTTTGGCACAAGGCCATGAGACACCCGACGACCGCGAGTCTGTCGCGGGCGTCACCTGAGCGCGAGGGGTCTCGCGCGTTGGGCCAATGAATTATTCGAGTGTTTGTGGTGTGCCGCTTGGCGGCGCTGCTCGCTTGCGCGGGTGCTCTTTCTCGCATGGCAACAGCAATGGCCGGGAGCGGTGGTGTTGGCGCCTGAGGTGGGAAGGTGAAGCCTGCAGGGCCGCGGAGCCTGGGCGGGTCAGCAGCGTGGCGGTGCACCAAGTCGCTTTTGTACTGCAAGTCGCGCAGTAAGCCTGACGAGCAGGGCTTTCGCAAGGTCAACTTCGCCGAGCGCGTGCAGTGCAAGTGGTGCAACCTGCCCAAGGCGTCCATGCTCTGTGGCACGCCTGCGGCCACGGCGCCTTCAGTACGTGTGAGCCCCACTGCTACGGAGAAGGCTGCGCTTGACAAGCTAGCCAAGGCTGAGGCCCGCTTCAAGGAACTCGAGGCGCACGTCAAGGGCGGCCAGGGCGGGGGCGCGGCCCCTGGGGCCAGTGCGGCTGAGGGCGCCCCCTGGCATGAGGCTTCGCCTGAGAAGAAGCGCCCGGACGCTGTCGACAAAAGCTGCTCGCGCTGCAGGCGTGGGCGGATGAGGGGGACGTGGAGGACTTCGCGGTGCAGCAGAGGGTCAAGCTGGAGGCGGAACAGGCCCAGCTGCGGAGCGCCTTGTTTGGTTCGAAGCCCAGGGAAGCGCAGTTCAGGAGCTTCACCGACCGCATCAAGAAGAACGAGAAGCTGTTGGAAAAAAGGGCCGCAGCGAGTTGGAGGCGCTGGAGCTCCAGGTGCAAGAATTGGAAGCCAAGGCGAAGGAGCTGCGGGCGTCCATCCTGGAGGAGGGCAACATCATGCCCGTAACCTCGGAACGGCTGTACCTCCTCCTGCTGAGCCTGGTGCTGGGCTGGATGGCATTGTGGAGGTGTGCGGCCAGCGCATCACGGCGGAGATCACCGGCATGCTGCTGGGGTGCTTCACGGTGGAGCAGGAGTTGGCGGCCGAGGTGCTCAAGCAGGCCAGCGCCAGGGAGCAGAAGGTGGCGGCAGAGGCCCAGCCAACGGCTGCTGCGGCGGCCGAGCGTGGGCGTGCAGAAACCGACACGGGAGTTGAGCGCAAGCCTGCAAGAGACGACGTCATGGACGATGAGGAGCTCGATGTCGAGGGCCAGTACGCGTTCCTCAAAAAGGCAGGTCAGGCACCTGCCCCTGCCGACGGGGCTACGCAGCCTGCTGTCGACGTGGTGCGTGCTGCCTTCAAGCGCTTCTTCGAGGACCTCGCCTTGGGGCTTCCGAACAAGCAGAGGCTTGCCTGAGGGCTCCGTGGGCGCCATGGCGGACGACCGCAGCAACGACCATTGGGAGGCGCCCTACAGTGAGCTGTGCGGCGCCGAGGAGTCCGAGGAGCTGGCGGCCTCAGACTTGCGGTTTAGCTTCTACGAGCACGAGGGCGTGCTGGCTGGGGCTGCTGGGGTCAGCTCCTGTGCTGGCACCCGGAGCAGCCTGAGTGGCTGGCTGCTACGGGCTGCCCTGGGGCGGGGGCGGTGGGATTCGCGCGCGGACACCTCCGTCGGCGCGGGCATGTACTACGACGAGCAGTGCGACGCCGATGAGCTCGTGGCCGCAGGCTTGGGGCACAGCTTGGACACGCAGGAGGCCGAGCAACGCGGTAGTTACTGCTGGGGGTGGCCCTGGCTTCTGGTTGGTGGGCAGTCTGGAGGGACTGCCAGTGTGCAGGGTTTGGAGGCGGGGGCGGGGGCTTCAGCCCTACATCGTCCTAGCCCCCGGCCCACTGGCGCGACGAGTTCGGCGTGGGTGCAGTAGCAGCGCAGCCGCAGCAGTTGCCGCGAGGTGCGATTGCTGAGGGGGCATGCTGCCAGGGGCCGTGCGCGGCTGGGGGCGCCCCGCCTGCCGCTGGCCGAGGGCCGAGGGGGCAGGGTTGCAGGCTGGCCAGGGGCTGCCGTCTGACGACCGTGAACGCCACGTCGTGGGGGCCGCTGGGTGAGTACCTGGCCTGCCTCGGCGGCAGCGGCAGCCTGGCGGTGGCTGTGCAGGAGCGCCATCGGCGTGAGGCGGATCTGGCCGCCCAGCTGAGGGCCCCCTAAGGATGCGGGGTGGCGCGGCATGTGGAGTGCCGCGCAGGCCTCTACCACCTCGGCCTCTGGCACCCACGGCGGAGTGGCAGTGCTGGCGCCCCTCCGCGCGCAGGTCACGGCTCCGCCCGCCAGGCGGGATGCGGAGATCGCCCCTGGCAGGCTCCTGGCGGCCCGCGTGAGGTCTGGCCGTAGGGCTGCGTCGTGGTCATCGGCGTGTGCTTGCACGACGGCGAGGGGCTCGCGGCTTGCAACCTCGCCATGATTTGGCACCTGGTGCAATTCGTGAGTGAGTTGGAGGCCGTAGGTACCAGTGGGTCGCCACTGGGGATTGGAACATTGAGCCTGAGACCTTAGATTTCGGTTGGGTGGCGAGGCTCAACGGTGCGCATGTGCTTCCGTCGGGGCATGCGTGCCGCCGGGGCGCAGGGTCCACCCTCGACTAATTCGTGGTCTCCAGAAGCCTCTGGCACGCGGTGGGCCCGCATGTGGGGCTGGATATGGGGGCGAGTGCGCTGGCCGGTGCGCCTGTCCTTTGGCGCGGCCGCGCAGTCGTGGCGGCGCGCAGGAGGGGCCCCGCCCGATCCCCCAGGAAGCGGCCGAGCCAGGCCGCGCGATGGCGCCGTGGAGCTGTGGCAAGGCCATGGCCAACGTGAGGGGCACCTCGGTCCAGGCAGGATTGCAGATCATCTGGGACCTGCTGTTGGAGGGGATCGACGCCGAGATCCTCGACCGTCGGGGCCTGGGCGCTGATGCGGCTCCTTTCGTCGGCCGCGGAGTGCAGGGCGATGCCGCGGCCTG